CCGCGGAATAGAATGACGTGCTATCCACGGATAAGCAAATTTCGCAGATAAATCCGAAAAATTCTAGTTAAAACGAAAATTCAATAATAAAATTATTAAAAAATTAAATCTTGTAATGTATCAAACAGTATTTTAGGAAAATCAAATAAAAACACCTTTCATTTATGTTCAAAAATTTATATCATAATATGTCACATGATATTTATAACACTAATTTTTTTGACAAAAAAATTGGTGACAAGTTGTTGTTTCAAATGTTTGAAAACACTTCTTTTTAACTTATGATTGAAATTTGTTTGACAATATTTTTTCACAGATGTTTGTATCGTATTATTGTCTCAGATATTGAACGAGCCCGTCATTGTGTCTGAGAGCCATTTCATGGCTCTAAAAATCATATAACTAACACGAAGTTTTATTCGATACGCGTGTTTCGAACACTATATAGTCGGCGGGTAATGCGTTAATGCACGGTGAAGGAGACGTGTGTGTATCTGTCAATTTATTTTGGTTGAAACGAATTGCAATTTTATTAATATGATAACTCATATTATTATGTGACAGGCCTAAGTAACGATCATATGCAATTAATCTACAATCCGCGTTATCGGATTATCGATTATTACAACTAAATTAGATCGTTGTATGTATATATCATGTGGAAATACGTTATTTTTATTTGACCGCGGATAATCGAGGGTACAAATTTAGGTGTCTGTGTAGTTGTATTATACGTTGACAAATACGTTGACAAGTACGTTGACCGGTACACGTCTACACGCGCTGTGGGCACCCACTTTTATGTTTATAATTTATTTCAGATAAAATTAAAATTTCAAAATGTAACTAAGTAACTTACCAAATACTTCACATTAATATAGGTTTTATTTCGTAAAAAATAAACATAAACAATATTTTACACGAACATTTACAATTTGCAAGTTAATTTATTTAAAACTATCCAATTATTTAACCACTCAAAATGTGAGAAAGGTTCGCTAGGGTATTATTTTTTTTGAACCCGATATTGGCTAGTAATAGGTTTCAATGAAACGCAAGTCATTGTCAATAATGAAAATACCGGTTGTCAGAAAATAAAATTAACGGAAATAAAAGCTTATTGAAATGGACGCATGTATAATCCCGGAAAGTAATCTCACGGACTGTAGGATTCCGGAATAGAAATAGACGGACCGTATTTTCACGGACAGTAGAAATCCGATAAAATGGTGTACTATTATGTATTAATATAATATCTTGTAAGTATATTTGTAAGTATTTAACTATTTAAATATGTTTAGCTTAAATAATTATTATAATATTATAAATTTTCCTTTGCACGAAGTTATAGGTATCTTCATTTTTATGATGACCTAGCTAAAAAATGCCGATTATAAATATTGTGTAATCATAAGTAGGACAAAGCAAAACTCAAATTTTTAGAACTGTAAAAGTCAAAAAAAATATTGTTTTACTAAGTGTGTTACACTGTTCAATAAACCCAACGAGTTTTAATGTTTTACCTATCAATAATTTACATCGTATTAATCAACTATTGATAAAAATGTCGAAATATTGACATGTTGCTTATATTCATAGTTGGATACATACATAATATACTTCATTAGTTCATGCATAGTACAACAATCACTATGAGTTATCTTTCCAGCCAATTGGGTTTTTTTTTTCACGTGGTTTTTCCACAATTCTAAAATACTGTCTGAAATATTCTGTTGCAATAGTTTTTCGACATTTTTTATCGTTGACGCTTAAATGTCTAATTATAATAGCGTACAGTTAATGACGGAATCCCCCATTGGCCACGGATTTCTAGTTTCCGGTAGAGATGATATCGTGTATAATATCATTACGCGCGATCCAGGGCCAATTACGTTCCATATTAATGATAATAAAACTGTTGAGTACACTGTACAGTGTACAGCCAATGATTTTAGAATATAGGTATACTATATCAGTATAATTATTCTAAAATCAATGGCACAACCAGCTGTTTACACGATCGACCGTAAATCCGTTGACGCGCAACCACCAAAATATTATCGGTAGACCATTGGTACGAACTACGAAACCATAGCAGACTTCGCGGACCGCGTTTACCGCGCGCATTACACACTATCAATAAGCCCCACAGCGCATTTATACGATACTAATAAATAATAATATAATAATGACTGTAATAACATTACGTATTACGACGCGCATAATGTACGCGACGCGGTTCGCTGAGCAACGAGCATTACCGCCGTCGTCCAATTCCCTCCCCATTTATCATCTCGTTTAGCCCAGTCCATTATATTATTATATTACGGTACACGATGTTACATTATCGTGTATATTATACTACGCGCTTACTACATACGCGGTATTCGATTACCCGAGTGGTGGTTTAAGAGTACTTTTTTTCTTTTTTTTTTTTTTTTTTTTTTTTTTTTTATGTGCGTGCGCTTATATGATCACTACCACTCGTTGTTGTTGCGGAAAATAATAATAATAATAATAATATTATAATAAATAAACTCTCAGCGATCGAGGATTACGATCGGACATTATAGTATTAGCGGGGCAGCTGATCTCGTTCGACGACATCATAATATTGTATTATTGTTATTATCGTTATAAACGGCCGGCGGTGGCAGCCCCGGACCTAGCTGGTCATAATCGTATATGATATATAATAATATATACAATATAATACTATGTGGGTACCAATATAATAATATAATATACATGTAGGTTAGGTCGTTGATCGAACCGCGTTTGCATTTCGGCGGTCACATAAGCACACACACACACACACAAACATACGCACAAATAATAATAATACAAGGTATAGGTACCCATTATTATGTTATAATATTATATCGTTTTTATACCGGGCGCACAATGCGAGGACGACCGCAAAAGGGAGAAGACGACGACAATATGTCTCCGAGTGTCTCCAGACGAAAGGTCGGACGTATCGACATAATAATAATATTAATAATAATAGGAGTTACGCCGGACGGACAATGATAATTCCTATTGTCGTCATCGCGCCGCATCGCCGCACATTTTTTCACTACCTATATACATCATTATTATGCGTCTACTTTATACATAGGTACCTCTGTTGTGCAGCGTTGTATTATAAGAGCATAATGTACGCCGCGCCGCCACGTAAACAAACACGGCGACAGATGCGGCCTAATAGATTCCCAGTGTCACTTCCTCTTACTTCGTCGTAGTGGCGACGGTATGCGAATAACGCGCCAGAATAACCATTGGACGACGAACACTTCCGGGCTCCAACGAGTTCAAGAAAACATATTATGTGTAATAGAATGACGTACGGTTGGCGACTGGCGACTTAGAAAAATAAAACCATGTGCCTATCGGGAAATTATAGCTACGGTTTGAGCGTCTGTAGTATACCTATATAGTGTTATAACACTTTATTATAGCAATGCGTGCATATAACTATAGTTCGCTTGCGGATCGAAAACGAACGTTTTTTACAACGAACTCGACGTATCGTGTCGATCGAATGATCGTTGTTTGCTACATGTACTAAATTTCCGCTGTAATTTTAAAAATTATATTTAAACATGATTACATGTTTCTGATGGACAGAGCAAGTATTTGTTAAATTACTTTGAGGATATTTTTGTGGTACTGGTTTGTTATAGCCCTGTCGCGGCGAGTGAAAACTTTATGGCCCCGCCATTCAGGTTTGTTATAGCACCGCCATCCATATAACAACAAACACATCTTATAAATATAGAATAATTCAATGAAAGATACATATTACATAGCATTACTATTAGGTTCCTAATAATCAATAATATAATAATATTTATTTATTGAAATAGACGCCAAAGTTGGTTCAATATTACCGATATTATAAAATAATTTGACGGAAAATACGTCCATTACTATTAAGTACCTAATAATCGTCAATCGGCTAAATGGGGCAACAAAAAACGTAAAGGAATAGACAAACATTTTTTAGACTCTTACATGGTGGAATTTATATGGCTATCAAAAATGAATAATAGAGATCTGTTTGACACCATTTTAAAAGATGTGGTAAAATTTTGGGAATAACAGAAATCTTAAATATTTTTATGTAGGTACATTATTTATATATTTTTAATATTATCATTTTTTAAAATTTTTTTTCATATTATATCATCGAATTATTAGATTAATAAATATCAATAAATAAATTCATTATTTTATATTTATACGATGAGTTTATTGTTATATAGATGGTGGGATTATAACAAACCAGTATCTTTTTTGTTATAATTAATTTGTTAAGTCTGATCAGACCTCGTTGAAAATTGCCTTGATTTTAAAATTACCTAGGACGACGAAAAAATTCAAATAAGTTGAGTTTTTTTTAAAATTTGTTAGGTCTTCCTCGTTTGAATTCTGAGTGAATGTTTAATAAAATCAAATCGATGTACTTAATTGAAATAAAATAATTACTAATATTTTTATAAAACCTAAATGATTAATAAATAATACAATCTAATAAGTAACTATTAATGTTTAATATCTGACGAATGACAGATAACTGTGCCATATCACAAATGCATCAGACATAACATAAACGAAATAATTTAGGCAGGTATAAAAATAAAATATGAACAAGAAAAGATTGATAATAATTTTTTAATTTAGAAAATATTTCGAGAGATCCACTAAAAAACTCAAACTTGTTCACGTACCTGATATTTTTTTTATTTTAATTCTTAAAATTTAATATCCACAAGTGCATGTTTGTAATATAATATATTACTCGTTGGATATTGGTTGTTTTACTCGATAAAGCAAGTTATATACAAAACCAGTACTTGAAATACGGTTTTTGGCCATATTGTTCACATAACTTATTTAACATTATGAAAACGTAATTTTCATTTTAGTACTATTTAGTATTTGTACCTGAATCTCTAAGAAACAAAAAATATGTTAATCAAATTATTCTATGAACATTATTTTTATTGATGAGCAAATAACGGATGTACAATATTTTCAAATACTACAAAATAATCAAACTTCAGATCACTTTTACTTAATACGAAAATTTATTTTAAGAGTATTCAAATTTTCGATTTAGAAATATATATTTAACAAGTAGAAAGTAGTTATAAGTACATAGGTTTTTAGGTGGTGTGAAGATCCAACCCGAGGGTTAAGATTACCTGAAATATATGGTGAGAAGGTCACGGTAATAATTGCGTACGTTTATTGGGTAGGTAGATAATACAAAGGCGAGTAACAACCGCCAATGGTCTCTACGATTCGACTGGCTCAATTATGTTATAATTTATTATTGTAATATACACTCAAACAGCTATTATGATATCTGAAAATATGTTCAGAACAACAAAGTTACAAGAATCGTGTTTTGGGTTTTTCTTTCTTTTTTTTTTTTGATTTAAAAACATACATTTTTTTAACACTTTAACGACAAATTATGCTTAAATCGTCGTCATCACTGCGCAATCTCGTTGCCGCTGTTGGTGCTTGCTGTACTACCAGTATTGTTTGTCGTCGGCAAACGGCCACTGCTCCGATTCAGTTTTTCGCGTAAGCTCTCGAACATTTTTTGCCGGCTCTTCCGGCCGTTGGTGGATATCTCGCCAATGGTGTTGGCCAACTGCGTTGAGACGGAGTCGAGGGTGCCCGTTACCAAGCCCACGACTGGCAAATCGCCAACAACGTCGTCGATGTTCCTGACGCCGCTGGCCAGGTAACCGCTACCGGTGGCCACGGTGGCGCTGATGCCATTAAAAAGCTGATTGCACAGGTATCCAAGGGCGAGCGTGGCCCGGCCACCGGCATGGGCAATATCCTTCAACGATTGACCGGTTTCGTCCCTTAAGTCCGATACCGTCAAGCCAGTATTCTTGATCAGTGACTTGAACACATCGCCGACGTTCTCTACTCCATTGATAGGTGGCTTTTCCACATTATCGCTTATTGAATCCGTCTGGTCTGTCGGGTTTGAGTTCGTGTCACTGGGTGTCACGGTATCAGACTGAGGCAAAGGCGTTGCGTGGATGGTGCCCATCTATGTGTGGGGGAAAAAAATAAGAACCTCGTTAGATAACGTAACTTTAGAAGTGCATATATGGGGAAGTAATTAAATTTCAGATTTTTGGGAGTTTTTTATCATGATAACAATTTTGAAATTAATTGTAATAATAAAATTAATTTAAATTAATAAAAACGAATTTTCTTAATTTCTACGGCTAGGTTAGGTTATGGTTTTATATTTTTATGTTCTTTAAAGATCTGCAAATATTAATTTTTATGAAGTTTTCAATTGGTATTAAACTAATTTTAGATCAAATAATCTCAAAACGCTAGTATAAAACAAAAATTTTTTGAAATATATTTAATAATAAACCTTAAATCATAAAAAAAAATTATCTTGAACTTTCTTGTTTTGATGTACCAACATAAATTACTTCTAATTAAATGCATAAATAAACATTGATATTTTAAGTATATTCATTATTGCTTAAGACAAAAAACGTAAATATGCATACCTGGAATAAACAACCAACTAACAAGTAAATTATCACACTTTTAGTTTTTCGAGGGAGACAAATCATTTTGTAAATTGTGTTTTATATCAAAATTGAATTAGACTAAGTCACTTGTAATATGGAAGTAACGCTGAAAGACTAAAAATGGTCGCTTTTATTCGGTGATCAAAACGATGGAATAAATATTCAATTAGTAATTAAATAATATACATGTGTTATTTACAGAAGTGCAATAAACGTTACACTCAGTACATTATTAAATTATCAATTAAGTTATTTAATTGCAACCACAATTTACACTTTAATCTGTCTCCAAAATAAATATGGATATATAACCCATTATCCTACGCATTTATGTTTTTTTAATATGTCGCCTACCAATGTGATAAAATAATTAATTTCTTGTAATAACTTATTTTACAGATTTTAATTTACATATGCCTTCAATATAACCAGTGATATATTGCTAAAATAAGCCGTGGGTATACGCCATATCCACGTAGATATATTTAATGGAGAGATCCAGGAATAGTCCAAAAACATTTTTCTCGCTCCGCTTGAACTATAACTTATATTTTTCTACCTAATTTAATTCGTATCTAATTAAAGGTATATTTATTTTTTATTATAAGTATTTATAATTATTTTACGTATGCATCTAATAATAACTGTATTTAAATGGGTATTTCGATTTCGGGATTAATGTTTCAGATTTCAAACGAAATTGAAAATATTTTACTGGTGTTTTGTTTACCAAAATGGTTTTAATTAGAAGGAAGTACTTTATATACCTAGCTACTAGCTAGTATCTATATTAAGCAAATGATAATTTTTTGGTATTTTTATTGTTATATTATTTAAGTGAAACTCGATAAACAATAGGTATTGAGAAATTGAAAACATTTTAACAAAACCAATATTAATTATACAATACTTTTGTTTTATAATTATTTATATATAAAATCACTGGCTTGTGGTCAAAAAATATTACTATATTATTTTCATATAATTTACATTTATTTTTTACTTAGCTATACAATCTAATATTTAATAGATTTTGATATTCTACATCTTTATTATAATATTTTATAAATACTATTAAAAACTACGTTTATAAATTAAAAAATTATAAAATTCTATAGTAAACAAGCTCATTAATATCCGTTTTTTTAGAATTAAATAAATATTAATGAACTTAAATAATGTAAATAATAAAATAACTAAAACTTATGCTTAGTTTAATTAATTTACAACGAATCTATAGTCTATGTATTCTGTACAGATTTACTATGATAATTAGTTTTATCGACTTTTTATTTTTGATTATTTTTCGGGTATAAATGTTCTCATCAAGGTCTATGTTATACAACTATCGATTTAAATTTTTAAATTGAACATTATTTAATTTTTTCAATAGTTTTTATCGTAATAAATATATCAATATTAAAAACCATAAAAATAACTTAGACTAAATAAATATCAGCATGTTACGAGTAGATTTAATCAAGTTCATCCAATAATCATTTTTTAATTTGTGGTTTTAAAATTAATTTATATTAAATACTTTTATCTTGTGTTATGATTATAAAATTCAAACTATTTTTTCTATTTCTGTATTTTATGTCTAACATTTTTTGATTAGATGTTATTGTTTAATTGTAGTTTACCCACATAATTTTTTTACTGGGCTTAATATAATGTAATATTTTTATGGTCACTTTTTAATAAGTTTTTATTGTAAAATTAAAAATTAAACTTAAATACTTATAAGTACTAGGCATATTTAAATTTATATGTGTAGCAATTTCGATATTTTCAAGAATTTAAAGTATATTAAATATTATAATCATAAAAATACTAATTTTATTGTAAACATTATTTATATTATTTGTATTCATTTTAGAAGAAAAAGTCAAATAACTTGTAATTCGTACGCAATTTGCACACAACTATTTAATTTGAAAAGCGATTGCATATTAAGAAACAACCAAATCATGTCATCCATAAAATCAAAATTCATTTCTTTGAAATTCATGAGCTTACCAGTGATAATTAATATAATTTTTTTTTCATTTATATCGTATTCCGGTTACTTTTAAAAATAACTCGTTGACATTAAATAATTTATTTTATCTAGTCGATGCACTTGAAAGTTTATAAAAACAATCATAAATAAAAACATACAAAATATAATATAGGTATTTTGTACTTAGATTAAGCAATCAGTTATCAATAAAGTTCAGGTTTTGAAAATAAATTGACAATTTGTGCGAGTATATTATCATTATTATTATTGTATTATAATATAATAAAAATTAATATATTAAATCATGTTTTAGACAAATTAATTAGCAGCACAATATTACATAATATGATGTGAGAAAATTTAAGGACAAGCTATGTTCGTCCTTATTACTACAATTTATTTTTTTTAACTATTATTGTTTTGATTTGTCATTAAAGTACATAGTTCGTGATTTTATAACCAGTTGTATCAGTAACTAATCAAGAGGTTTGAAAATTCTGTTCATTAGCTTCGACCAATTGCGATTGCCGTCCTCCAAGATTTTTTCTATTCTTTTTGCGGTTTTGGTGCCAAAATTTACGGCTGTTTCGTTAATTTTATTTAAGAACTCTTTCGCGTTCTTTTCGAAATTCGGATCCGTCGAATCCATGTACGCTGAGACAAAACGTTTTGCCATCAACTTTGCCTTGTTAGCCCAATCGCGAAAAATATTTTTCGCGTTAGGAACATCCACTGAAACTGTCTGCAGCTGATCGAGTTGCTGATCGAGTTGCTGATCAAGTTGTTGATCGAGTAGCTGATCGGATGCCGCGCGACCATTGCTGACCTGGGTGTGTACAAATATCAAGACATTTAAACTAAATCCCAATTGTTATAGGTAAAGTTAATAAAAATGACACTTTTGGAAAAAATACATATTATCTTATTTTAGCTTTCCTGTAAATTTCAAACTAAATATCGTATGTTATCTTGTTATTTTTAGAGGTCCGTGACCTTAGAATAAGGTAAAAATAAGCGTTTAGATTGTTACATAGTATTTCGCGTCCAAGTTAATGTAGCTACGCTGATTTAGGTTTTCGAAATTTTAAACCTAACTGGCTTTATTTTTATAAAAATAAGTGTGCATCTTCACTTGTTTGTTGATTTGCTATAAAATGTATTTGTAAAATAAACGTTTAAAAACATCTAGCAAATTTAAAAAAGCAAAAAATACTGGATCACAATAATTATGAAAATATAGTATTATTTTTATGGATACATCTAAATATTTTGCAAGTATGTATAACTATAAATAAAAACAAATTACATACTTGGAATAAATAACCAACCAAAACAAAAATTAAAATTTGTTTAGTATAAAACTGATTTAGACAAGCCATTTTATAAATTGTTTGATATTAAAACTTAATTTGGTCAAGTGAAATTCAACACAAAACTTTGATCGGAATATTCAGAGTGGCCGCTTTTATTCTGTGATCGGAGAAATGGATATATGTTTACAAATATGTATATAATCAATTAAAATATACATATGTGTTTACTGAAGCTTATTAAATGTCGTATCTACTTATTTTATAACGATAAATAATCAATTAAGCAGTTTAATTGGGTTTACAATTTACATTTCCGACCGTCTCAAAAACAAACACTTGTACATCAACTGTTCTAATATACATCATTTTATGTTTACAATGTCACATATACATTTTGGTCACACAAATACGTATGGTTTACGTAGCGATAGCTTTCGAAAAAAGTGGTAAATTAGATTATCGTTTTTCTGTACAGTAAGTCTACAGTGTACTGAGCCATTGAGCAATTGTAATTATGTATTAAATTTGAATTCAATGATAAATCATTATTTCGTGAAAAAAAAACAGTTCTGAGCAAAGATGGTTTGACTATATAGTATTTAATTATTATAATATGTATATTTATATAATATATTATTGTTATTAACTTTAAGTCGATACCGATTTACTATAGAACGGCGTGAATAGGTTCGCAATATAAATAAGTAATAGCATAAAAAGAAACTGAATATTTTAAAAATATTATTGTAAATATAAAATATAGTAATATACGTAAAAGTTTCAACTATTTCAAGTGCTCATAAATAATATTTTTGAATTTCAACAAAATTACTAAAAATCATTATTCTTTCTTTGAGTATCTAATTTCATCCAAATTTTAACTTTAAATGTAAAATGAAATAAAATTATGTTCATATATTTTTTTAAATTTTCGTAGAACCTTGAATTAAATACATTTCAAGCATTCATTTTAAAAATTTGATATTTCAAACTACAAAATAATTTAGTAAATTTTCTTGATTTTAATAAATATTGTAAAAAATTGAAATTGAAACATTAACAAAACAACATTATATATTTTTAAATTGCTGAAATATAAGTGAATTGATCAAGTGAAACATTAATGGAAAAAAAAAAATGAAAAAAGAAAATTTACAAACGCCTGATAGCTTAAGACGAGTAAAAATATTTTAATAGTTTTATCATCACGTATATAAAATTTTCAATTTTAATATAGAAATTTGGTGAACATTTCAAGTACCGAGGATTATTTATTTTTAAATTACAACAAAAAAAAGCAGATAATTGATTTTGTTAAAAACTGTTTTTACGTAAAATACCAGTTTTTTATTACTTATTTATTTTTTTTGTTGTTTTTCTTATTATTTTTAAAAGCAATGAAAATTTTAACTTACTAAAAGTACTAAATTAATTCATGTTGTTACCAAATACCACCCTCAAAGTGAAAATTGAAGTATGATTACTGCGCTAAAAAGTGATGACTGATAAAAAATAAAAAATACATATCCTTGTAAAAATAATTATATTCATCGTAATGTTCAGAATTTAAAAAGTGATAGTCGATAGATTTTACTATTTTTGTTTATTAAGTTATTTTTTACACATCTTGCATATAAATTCTTAGATTTTAGAAAATTTAATGAATAATTAATACTATATTAATAATATGTGCTTAATTATTAATTTATTGATCATAGTAATATGTTTATAAAATATTGAGAAAAGTTTTTTTACTGCGATCATCAAACATTTAAATTAATATGCTTTTTTAATTAATTTTGCTGATAAATGCTACTTACGAACTTAAGTTAATCATATGTAAATTGTTTATATATATTGTTTATTGATTTAAAGGTAAACAATATTGATGTCGTAGTTATTAACAAATAACATGTATGTAAGTATCTATTAATACCTATTTTAGTATTCTTTAATATTTTTTAATGAATTAATGTAACAAACTAATACAATTTTAAACCTAATTAATGTATTACTAGTATACATTGAATGTTTTATAATGTTTCAAATTAACAAGTAATTTTTTTCAAACATTTATTATTGTATATATAAAATCAAAAACATCCTTAGATTTTGTACTTGTAGTTCTTGATATATTTTTATGATACACGTACCTATATAATATACGAGTATAATATATGATATTGTATTAAACTGGCATTTTTGGAAGGATACTTACTTTGAAGCATTTCAAGATGTCAAAGAGTGATTTTAACGAGTTTTGAAGTATAGCAGTACTAAGGAAATATAATTATTGTTTTCAGTTATTTTTTGTTATAAAAAATATTTATAAGGTGGTACTTATTCTTCAAAAACTCAAAACTGTAGTAATATACTCTCATTAATAATGTACTGCTTTTTAAACCGTTCTTCAATAATTACAGTGATTTTTAATAATTTTTATTTGAAATTGATTATTGTTTTGATAAACAATAGCTGCTTATAAAAACAATTTTTAAATTATTGTTTGTACTTTTTATACATTTAATATAATATATTTTTGTTAATTATTGAAATTATGGTTTATTGTTTCAAGTTTCAACAATAGAAACTGCTAATAATTAATATTGCTAAATCGATAATTACCAATAATTACCACTTCCAATTAAAATCACAAACCTCGAGTTTATAAAAAATAAAACAATTTGAGTTATGGTCGTAGGTTAGTTATAGGCATTATAGGAACACAGGCGAGAAATAAAAAAAATGAATCAAATCTTTTTGTTGAAAAAAATAGTTGATTATAATATTTTTTTATAAGAAAATATTTGTATTAAATTATCAAGTTACTCATTTAATATTTTTTGCTAACTCATTTAAATTAGTAAAAATAATTGTACAAAATACTTTTTTTTTTAAATTACCTACCTATTTGTTCATCAAAATTCATCAACAAATTATAAAAAACAAGTGAATACTTTTACGTTTTCACGGTTTAGTTGGTTTCTGTTTTTCGATTTACATATTAGTATGATAGCAAATTAATAATAATGATTATTATCTATTTTAGTAAAAAAATTTTTTTGTTAGGTATATTTTAAATTTAGGCTTATGTTTTATAAATAGTATTATGTGGTTTAGTATAGTTATTTAACTCAATTAATAAGAACTATATATTTTACAATACCATACTTGAAACGTTTAATGCTGTTAAAGTTTTTTGAATAAATAAGTAAGTATAATAAATATTTATGATCAACAACTATAAAAAAAATAAATATTACTATCTTGTTGTTATTTAAAATTAAACGATTTTTAAGACCAGTTGATTATTATATATACTTAGTGAAACAATACAAAAATAATTTTTCATTTATACATAAGACATAATATTTTACCTTCACATTTATACAAACCTGATAGGTATTAATTTCAACTCCAAATCACATCAAATCAGTTTGTAATTTATCGGTATATTCTAATATTCTATCCAACCAAAGCTGACATTTTTAATAAAATAAGATTTTATAAGAAAAATAGATTGAAAAAATATAAAATAACAACTAAATCTAGAGCTATGAAAAAAGTAAGTAATAATTATTTTCACATGTATTATTTAAGTTATTTTTTTAAAATAATTTTAAAAATACAACACATTTTAAAACATTAAAAAACGTTAATTCTTCAAAACATTGTTAATTGAATGGTCCGTGAATTATTTTTCTAGACTATTCTTGTTGTCCATTTAGTTTTTGGGCAGTAGTCAGTTGTATATTTTCTATCTTTAATTCTTGTATGCCAAATGTGTATTTATAATATTGATTTTAACCGAATGTTTTCTTATAAAGAGCACATAGTTATGAAAATAAACACATCCAATAGACATGAAGGTGTAGTTCATAGTTTTAAATGTTTGACTATATTAGTGATTAAACTCGTATGCTGTAAAAAATAATATAAAACTTTTAATCACGGCTTCCATCTTTCCATCCGTCCCACCATGTTAATTTGATCTATTAGAGTCTAATATTAACTCATTATATTTTTTGATTTATACTTTTAATGCACTTATGACTTATGAGTTATCATTACCATTTTGGATATTGTTTTTTAGTTTTTGATTACAGTTTGGCAACAAACAATTAACAAATATTAAATTGTTTGTTCAATTTTTATATTCCCTGTAAACAGGGCTGTAATTTTTTGTTTTAAACAAACATTTTTTAAATTTAATCTATTATACTTATATAAATTCATAATTATAGAATTATATACCATGGATTTTATGTAGCTCATGTTATGATATGATGGTGTTTTGTGATTTAATCCAAATTAACATTTTTACCAAAAATGGTTATATTATATAGATCAAATTTTCAAAATACTCACCCAGTGCTTCTGCTCATAAATTTGCTTAGCTATAAGTGAGTAGTAATATAATATAACATTAGGATTATGTTATAGTTAATTATTTTGACTTTTTTTTTTTTTAATCATAACAAAATTTAATTTTCCCAAAATATGTACTTTTTCAAGGATCTATCTTTTTAATAAATCTAATTTGAGGTTTTTTATGTAATTCCTAGCAATAAATGAATTCAGATTTTTAAAAAGTGTTAGTTTATTCTATCTAATTTTCATTTTAACTGAATCCCTATAACAATGATGTAATATTTAGGTAATGTCAAAATGTTGCGTTTAAAATATACCTTGATATTATCGTTTAATATCATAAGTTCTATAATTCATGTTTTTTACATTTCTTATTGTACGTCTATTACGATAGTTATAGGCTTATAATTAATTTACTTGTTTGTTTTAAACTAGAATATTTTACATTATCTATTTAGTTTAAAATACTGATCATTATTCGTAATTTAATAATATTACGTTATTTGTAATTTATATAATATGCGTACCTAACAGCTGGTGATAGTAGTATAATATTAATGTGTACATTTTTTTTTTAATCACAGCTTCCATCCTTCCATCCGTCCCTCCATCTTTCGTTTACTCTGTTACAATCAAATATTGGCTTACCAAGTTTTTGATTAACGTGATTATGTATCTGACATAGCCAATCAGATAATGATTGTTGAGAGTCAATTTCTGGTGGTCGACTGATTAAACTATTGAAAAAAAGCATAATTGCG